CTGATGATGGAGGCAGTATGACCTCTGAAACGTTGGTAAACATCGACCAGACTACACCGCGCAACAACCCAGAAGACAGATATCTTCATCGCCCTGATGACGGAGGCAGTATGACCTCTGAAACGTTGGTAAACATCGACCAGACTACACCGCGCAACAACCCAGAAGACAGATATCTTCATCGCCCTGATGACGGAGGCAGTATGACCTCTGAAACGTTGGTTAACATCGACCAGACTACACAGCGCAACAACCCAGAAGACGGAAATCCTCAGATAGAAGATATCTGGACAGGTGGTTTAAAGTTTAGTTGTCATGACTACAAATAGCGACTTTTGTGCCAATACGAATGCAACAGCCTATTGTAGGTGGAGTAATGGAGATTAGATATGTCGACAGTATCAAAGATATGTGAGGAGTACTCCTCCTACTAAGTTGGGGTGTTGCCAGCAAGTGTCGCGCAGTATACTTATACAGAATGAATAATGCACGCAATTACACGCCTAAAGGAATACGATGTATAAGATAAGGCGTTATTATTAGTCTTCATGTGTCAGATTATTCAGTGCTATTTACATTTGTAATTATTATTCTCTCTCTCCATTACTTACTCGCTTGTCATTAAATAAAGTGGAAAGGTGCAATCCATTATACAGAGATTTTCCAGATTCTTCATAGCAATTTGTTTTGCACCTCATTGACATCAATGATGATAAGTCATTAAAGATGCAAACTTGCTTCGATAGTTTATCGCACTGCAGGTATCACGTTGTGTAGGCAAGAAATTATTATCTCTTGTGTACGGTACGTAAGCCATATCTAACACGAAAAAATTAAGCTAAGGAAATCTTAAATATGTCTATAGGTTCAATTCTGTGTATGATGTTTAATTTTTTTACTTAAATGGTATGAGCCTGAACTTTAGTAGATCCATTAGTTTGGTATAGAACGTAATTGAACTTACTTTTAGTGTCAACCACCAATAGACTACCAACTTAATTTTAAACCCGCTGAGTACTTAAGAAATTGAGATATAAGGACGGTCAGAGAGCCATATTATCCCAATTATGCATTAATGTTATGAATTTGATACAAAGGCATAATATGGGCCTGTATTTTGATTCGATTAGACTGAAATGTTACTACACTGCATAAATCCAGAAAAATAAATTACTTATATTTCATGAGATGGAAAAGTTGCGTCATATTGTGATATAATAAATATATATTATTTAAATCTTGTCCGTCTAATCACAATAAATTCTTATTAAATATTAAAATATTACAATGATGGTCTAATGTAAATCGAATATTTCGATAAAGAACATCATTTAATATTTTAAATATTTTAAATGTTAATTATTGTAATATTTTAATATTTAATAATAATTTATTGTGATTAGACGGACAAGATTTAAATAATATATACTTATATTTCGTTAAATATGTACTGTTTTTTAAGATGGCTCAGATAGAAGTTTCAGATCATACTTATGTCTATATTTTACGTCGTAGTCCTGTATCAATTTGTACATTGAACTGTTTTTAGATGTTCTTCGTGCTTGTTTGAGAACGCGGATTTATGGTACCTCTGGGAAGCATCGCCTATACCACAGTTTGAGAACCGTGTGAGTGGACAGTGGAGAGATATACCGTTGTTGCGCAACGATGTCATCGTGGATCGCGTTAGTGCAAGAATGGACTGAGGCACATGAATTTACTCCGGTCACACAAGTGCTTGATGTGGGGTGAAGACCACATTTGGATTGTTAGTGTTCTTCAAAATGTACACCTTTCGACTCTTGTTGAGAATAATGACGAAATATCAATATGTATTAATGCAAAGTAGGGTTATGTTGGGCCGATAGGACGGTAATAAGATTCTGCATAGAAGTCTAGTATTGCCGTTAATAACGCGATATCGAAATTCGGCGGGTGGTTTCTGTGGTGGAATCTTGCGGGCAGACAGAGTCTTCCTGTTGTGTATTTGTGCTCAGAGTACGCCGGTTTGGCCGCTGCACACGGAACTCTCTGGATGTCTATTATCCGGTACATTTATTCCAGGATTAATAATTATCGTGAGCACAGAGAAAAAGCGACGTACTTAATTGAATTTCTCTTCAAGCATTTTCCGACTCCGCCCACGCGAATAGAATACCAACGGCCATAACTGTTATGCAACAGTGCAGGAATCCCTCCACATGCCAGTGTCTCCTTGGTTATGTCACCGACCTCGAAAATTCTGTACCCCGGTTGCAGCCATTGAAGTGAGTAAGAACTGTTTGTTGCCAATAGGTTTCGGTTACGATGATCCATGTTGAAATAAAACTTCCCTCTCACCGGACGTGCCACAACTCTGTGGGTCTCCAGTCGCTTGAGTATCTAATGTTCAATGTGAGTGAATACTTAAAATGGATAAAATGTTCGGTTTGTGAGACAACAATACTGCAGAGCCTTTGTGTATTTCTTATATATTTGTAAGGAAGAGAATATAACATAATTTATTTTGTACTGAATGATGAAATGCATTTTTCAGTTTATACTTGTCTTTATTTCATCACGAATTACAATTTTTGTGGTCAGATTTTATGTTTTAACGGCGGTGTTTTGATTTAATTACTGTTAATTGTAGTTTCATGACACCAGGTAATTTCAGCCTATGTAATTTGTATTTCTTGTCCAACATATGCTATAAATATCGTGAGACACGATTTATGTAATTACATTTAATTACACAAAATCGTCTTCTTTTTGTGCGTAGTTATTAGTTAATAATATGATGTTTGAAGTTTTTTCGACAAGGGGAAGTGTATTTATTTTACATCCTGAAGCATCTTGTTTCCGTGGGCTACGGTCCTTATTACCCTGTGTGTTTATTTTTACGTTCGTGACACTTAAATTGATTTATAGGTATTTAAAGGGTCAATGTACCAATGCCCTGATTGCTATTTAGCTACATGCGGCAGAAATGAACAGGATATAAGTATATTTTCGTACGTATGTATGGAAAAACTTTTCAAAATATTTCCAATTAGCTGTTTTTCAGCAGAATTCTTTATCTTTCGATATGCAAAAAGAATTTTCGATACAACGACCACACGCCAAGTAGAACGAATATATCTAAAGCTGACAGAACACTTTTCCCCACCTATCATCATTCCTTTTCCATTGTTTCTGCTATTTATCCCTTTTGTATCGTTACATTCTTCCTATCAAATACGTCTTTACAGAAAGACAGTAATACAAATGTAAGACCTGTACTTGTTACATTATTTTAACGTCCTCGGGGATGTCCGGTTCTATTTAAATAATGTACTAGCAAGTATGAAGTCGTGAAACTATGGTCTATATAACACAGGTAACAAGAATATGTGAATCGTTACTATTAAAACATAGAATATTAAAAAGTAATGAATGTACCCTTTCTTAGGATAGAGTTTATTTTAAAAGACTGCATTCAAATTGCTACTCGATGTGATATCATACATCCTTATGCATTAACGTCGATTTCAGTATGCTATGTTGTGATTATACTTACCACTTTGACAATATTTATCATATTTATTGTCATTTATATGAAAACTGGACGCTCATATACGCGTTATCTCTCTTTAAGATAGTGTAACTTCTAGCATCTGTATTACCGGTGACAGCATATATATATTATTTTTTAGAACTTGTCAGGATCGTTATTTTAAAATCGTCATAGATTTCTGACGTTTCAAACCATACGCCATCAATTTAACTACAGCTCATGTAATGAGCTTACTCCTCACACGTTACATCATCCGCTATTAACATAACAACCAATGTATAAGTGCACCGTTGATGCAGTGCATGAAAAGTTGAAAATAAATTATGACGGTGGCAACTTTGGTAGCAAGGAATGCAAATGAGACTGATGACGCCTATGTTAGGATCTGGTGGGATTCTGGTATCAGTATCTGTGCTTTTGCCACAAATCTGGCTTTAATCGCAGCAAAGATGTTTTCACATTCAATTTATACATACATTTCATAAATATTGTGATTTCAATGTGATTTGAAAAAATAATGACGCAATAAAGTGTTTTACTGTCCAACGCTAAAAAGTTTCATTCCCATCAACTTTGACCAATGAAAGGCTGTTGATAGTTACAAAAAAAATCACTCTTTGACGGACTTGTCTCGTTTTTCTTACAATCTGTGTGATGCAGCTTCGTAAAAATAGAGGCCAATACTTGGATGCACATGCGAACATACAAACCTTTGAATTTTTCTTCGTTTTAAGAACTTTTAGTATAAATATATCCCTCTCGCTCCTCTGATCCGCTCGCCTCTTACTTCTAACGGGCATGGAACGCACTGTTTCGTCCCGGCTACTGTGGATTATTTGCATGTTTAGATTTCTTTCAGGAGCGCATGAGCAGGAATTTGGTGGGACTGTCGGAATGTGCGCAGAGGCAATTGATAAGTAGCGGCCAACTCCGTCCAGATTTCAGACCAATTTTAATGTATTATTTTATTTATTACTGGTTGGTCCTGAAATATTTGTTAAAATCAGGGTTTAGGTATCGTTTATTGTTTCAAACCACTAAATAAAATAGCCAAACATATCAGACTCTTAATATTGGAGGTAGCTTATAATCTGTAATTTTTACTGAACATCATGATCCATAATACATTGTGTACATTTCATTAAACTTACCACAAAATATAAATCGAGGCACTGTATTAATAACTAAGTGTTTATTATTTTCTCTCTGTTATTCGATTTTGCTTGAAACTCCGACTACAGTGGAGAGCAAATACTGTGACATAATTTAAAGTTTTGTCATAGAGTACAGGACGATATGAAATCGTTTCAAAAACATTTTCTGTGTAAATCTAGGTTTTCTTGTTGGTTCAAGGTTAGGTAGATATTTTGAAATAAATAAGATAATTTGCATTGTGCAATGTTGAAAATTGCTACACGTTTTGATTTGCGGAAATTATCATGTCTGTCGCCCTCAGTACGTCGCAATTACAAGCTGGGGAAGTGCGTATAAGGGCCCATTTTTCAGTCTGTTTCTTGTTTCCGAGGACTGTCTTTTGTGAATCCATTTTTGCAATAAACTGTTTAAAAATAATTGAGGAAACCATTTATTAAGGTGAAAGAAAGATTAACACTGAACAGAAGTTCATATGGAGAATGTTCAGTGAACAAATATTTCGTCCCTGAACAAAAAACAAAAATGACAAAACTTATTCCAAATCCAATATTTGTTGGTTTACATCAAGACAGGTAATGGAATTTATATGAAAAAATTAACATGCGAGGTTAGTGAAGCATTGCATGTGAGTTTTATAACAGTTGTGCGTGTAACGTCTGTCATTATGACGCCTTAATTTAAACTTCAGAGATCTGAAATCGTTAGTCCTTTTTGTCGGGAAACTCGAAATGCTTTCCTAGTAATAAGCGATGGAATACATCAGCACGGGCTGGTGACTGTACTGTATGGAGTTCAGAGCCGTCTGGGGCTGGAACCTGACGTGACGTGGTAAGTTCCTCGCTGTAGGAACAACACCATACTTGGTGGCCGACTACCTTTGCTGACCGACAGCTACGTATGTTTCTTCAGCCACCCTCATGTGTGCAGCGCCTGCGGTCTGTTGGCCTGATACCTGCGGCCCGGGGCCCAACACAGTGTCTGGAGGCACCCCGGCGATGGCTATAGCTATTGGGCGAGAGATGGCCAGTCCACCTGGTCCTACCACGGCAGTTCCGGTTGGTTTAGACGCTGCCACTCCTCCTATTCCTGCGATGGACAAACCCACTGGACGGACTTCTGCAACTGATGCATCTGAAAACAGGATTAATGAGTCCAGACATGTATAAAGTCCGCTCGGAGAGTAACTGTCTACATAGTACCAGTATACTTCTTACCAGCCTATCATTTGCATTAATAAACGATAGATGAAGTAATTCTTTTCAAAGGGTTGCGAAACTTAACGACTTTACCAGCCCTTGAATTTCTCCTCCCCTCATTTTCTTCCTCGCCCTTTGTGTTTTGTTACCATATTATCGTTTATTGTCTGCACTCTTTCATTATATTGTAATCTTTTCAACAGTAGCATATTACTGACTTTAAGTTTCACACTTATTTCAATACTTAATTTTGCCTAACCGTGTGTATGTATCTAAGTGTGTCAGTGTTTCCATTTCTCTGGCTTTTGTTATTTTTTTCTCATATCGCAACATGTCACATCTGGCGTAACCAGCATTTGCATAATTTAAGATAGGTCTATATTCACTTCGTAATTATTTTAGCAAAGTTTATTTAAATTATCTACCTTTATAAGTACAAATGTTTACCTCCAGTTGTTCGTATATCTCTCGCCTTTCGGGATTATTAAAATTCCTAAATATTTGCATACTTTTTTATATTTGTCTGTTATGTAAAATAGCTTACATTTTACTTTCTCCAGTTAAAGGTAAATATTTTCCTTTTGATTTGTGATTTAAGTAAGTAAAGATTTCTTTGTAAACAAATTTATAATCTTTAATATGTAAGCAACCCTTCAATAAGAATTTGTGGGCGGATCTATGTTCTAGTTGTGCACCGGATTATCCACGTCCAGATCCAAAGATCGTTGGTTGTCGCTGTCAGCCAGAAAGTTAAATAAGTTATAATTTGCACATCCGACAAATTCTTTTAGATTCTACAAAGAATTACCTTAATTAAGGTTGTATATTTCTTTAAGACCTATTACCGTATTCTGCAATATTTCAGGATCCTACAGTAGACAATGTATCGACCGCAAATCATAAATTCGCACAGACGTCATTATTAATGCCAGTAAATTAAGAAGGGCAAGTCTCTTGTGACATAATGTTAGAACCAAGTTTCATGCAAATCCGATTATCGATTAAAACATTATTAGGGAGTGCAGACTCTTGGACATCACAATACTATATGCGACAAAATAAGGAAAGTAGGCTATTAAGAGTTTGGCATCGAACACAATGAAATGCTTCTCAGGACATGTGACCGTACCTGGCGGAGGCAGCTGAATGGTGATACCGTCGTCTTCCACGGTCCCACTGCCACCCCCTTGTTCATCCTCCTCACCGGGGTTGCTGTATGGTCGTTGCTTCAGAACAGGCCTGATGCCCAGTGTGGGATGGTACACCAGAACGTTACCCTCGGCTCCACCGTAGTACCGCATGTTGAGTACTTCCCCGTCGAGTGGGGCCGCTCTGTGCTCCGCCCTGAGAACAAACCGCCAGTTAGGACGTCGGCTTCTTTATTTTTGGGACGCTTTTCTCACTGTAAAAGTTATAGTTCGTTCTTGCTTAATTGAATTACTGTCTTTCAACTTCAGAGGTTGTGACTGGTCTATGGGGTTTTTGAAGACGATGTTTCAACTTTAGATTTTATATAGCATGAGGCGATTCGTTAGCTTCACACTACGGCCACGTTTTGCATTTGACAAGTGTCCGGGAGGGTCCCACAGATGGTTTGGACTTGGTATAGAAAAGACCTGCTAGGAATCGAGCTGTCTCATTATGAAATGAACTCATACAATTCATTTGCCAGTTGTTAGAATATTTTGAATATAAAATTTCAACATATCTCCTGTTTCCCTAGTAATCTATTATAGCTTGACAATTTATAAGGGTCCTTATAATGAGTTAAAGCGTTTATTACTATAAAATTCGTCTATATTTCCTATGAAATGTTTTTCAAGCGTCTTTTATTATGACTTGCCACAATTGCATGTTCTTAATGAAGTAACAGAAACACTTTTAATAACGAAATCTATCACTGGATACTGTGCTTAGCCACTGCAGTCCATTTAAAAAATGTAAAGCCTAAAATATATTTTAATGTCATTCTCACATCTCTTTTGTGTCTAAGAAGTTACTTTCCAAGAGATTTTCCTAGCCAAATTATGTATGCATATGTTTCCGTTTTCCTGATATATTTCCTCCACAGCATAAACTTCCTAATTTGCCTTCCTGAAGACTAGCTTGTAGAAGTTCCTTTTGTACACAGAAGTGGATTTTTAAACATATTTTTTTCGAATTAGCAGAAAAGTAGATGATGAAACAATTTCTCTTGCCTTGGTATGAAGATACTTGGGGAAAGTTATGTAGTGCTGAATGGTAAGACCACTTAGTGGTCTAGATGTTTCTAAAAGTGCCATCGTGTGGCGTTTCGAGGCTGCTCTTTCATTAACCTGTATAAACTAAACAAAATAAAAAAAATTGTCATGCGAACCGAATACAAATCTATATTTTTACATTAACACCAGTTTATTTTGTAAACACAGGAAGAAAAATTGTCTGTCGAAGTTCTAAATAACTGCTTGATAGACTAGAAGTTGAGAATCGGCAATATACAAACGTTTAGGCATTTCTTTAATTTGTATTATGAAGCGAGGTTGATGCCAGTGAAAGTTTTGTCGCTAAATGATGACGCAACTATCTGTCGTGAAGCTTGTCTCGAATTTTGAATTATTTCCCAGAAATCTGGCAATGAGTGGAGAGTGAGCGAGCCAAGTCGCCACCCATCGGTCACCTGTGCGTTCGCTGTCACGTTTATCGACGGCCTGCAAAAGTCATTTCTGAGACGGACTATGTCCATTTCCTAGGAATGACAATTTTCTGTTCATCCGTTGTAAGACACGTATTTTTCAAATGCGTTCTCCGCCATTTCGTGTACCTCATTTGAGTTCGTGTTCACTTACTGCGTGTAGAAGTTTAGAAATGAGTACAAAATTTAAATCGGAACCCGGAAAAGAGACCTAGGTGTTGATGGGAGGGTAATATGCTACTGATTTGTTTAGTCAACAATTGTTTTTGTTAATATTTTAATGTTTTCCGTCAAATCACAATTTTAATAAGATAATAAAATATAAAATATTTAAAATATCATTTTACGTTCCGCATCGAATGATTGTTTTTGCAGTAAGTGAACATCGAGAATAGTAACTGATGCGTGAAATCAATAATAATTACTCTTAGACGTAGCTAATCATACAAGCAGTCAGTGCATTATGTAAAATATAAACCTCGTAGTTTTTACTTCAAACATTCTTAGGTTTAGTTTAAACTTATCAAAATTCATAGATAAAGTTAATATCTCTAGGTTTTTGACCAATAGGATATATTCGCTGCAGTTTATCTATGCAACTGCAGGTGCATATGAAATAAATAATACATATATAGGCCTGCATACATATTAAAAGTAATGCGGAATAGAGACCGCAAAGAAAACATTAGGGAAATATGTGTACTCAAATTCGGAGTGTAGCTTTTTACACTTGTTACCTGTCATTGCACCATCGTACTGCCTGACTTATGAGAAAAGCATAACTGATCACTGTCTGACTTTGCTATCTAAAGATGATTCAGCTATGAAGTCTTGCTATTGGAGGATTTAGTGTTGGACTTGTGACAGTGAAACGTTTTGTTGAAGATTTCTGTCTTCTGGGTTGTTGCGCTGTGTAGTCTGGTCAATGTTTACCGACGTTTCAGAGGTCATACTGCCTCCGTCATCAGGGCGATGTGTATGAAGATTCTGTCTTCTGGGTTGTTGCGCTGTGTAGTCTGGTTGATGTTTACCAACGTTTCAGAGGTCTTACTGCCTGTCATCAGGGCGATGT